GAGATGGAACATGCTGCCGCCATGGGTAATACCCGTAATCTGTTCCATCTCATCCGGGTCACCGGGAGGAAAGCCTTAGGTGTGAGTGAAACGATCTGCCAAGCTGACGGATCGCCCATTCATAGTCAACAGTGACGCCTTGCACGCTGGGCGGAGCACTTCAATGCACAAGTTAGCTGGCCTCCAGCGTCAGCTTCTCACACAGCTATTCTGGCACACACACACCCCATGGTCTTTCTCAACAGCTCACCTTGAGGCAGAAATCCGTAAGGAGATCGAAGCCTTAGGACGTCACAAAGTGCCGGACTCCGATGGCCTTCCCCCTGCTCTATTTAAAGATGGTGGAATAAAGCTTGTTAGAGAACTACAAGTTCTGTTCTCTAAGTTTTGGAACGCTGAGCAGGTCCCCTCCTCATGGGGGGAATTGATTGCCGTCCCCATTTGCAGAAAGGGCCCGCGCAATGACTGCGCCAATCATGGGGGTATAAGCTTTATCTAGACAGCGTCAAAGCTGTTGGCGTCCGTCATTCTCCACCGATTTTACACTACGCGTGTGGAGCGGGCTGCGTTTCGTGCCGGCCGTGGATGCATCGATCAAACATTCACCCTCTGACAACTGTTGTAGCACCGTCATGCCTACCAAAGACCAACGTTCATTGTATTCTTAGACATCCGTGCGGCCTTCGACTCTATCGATAGGATCGCACTATGGAACTGTTTTTTAGTGAATGGAGTGCCTGAGAAGTATGTGTCGATCCTCAAAAATTTGTATTGTCAACCTCGGGTCGGCTTGGGGCCTATGGCCAACTTTCGCCACCCTTCACCGTTCCCAGTGGAGTTCGGCACGGCTGCCTTATATTCACATTTCTTTTCAACTTCGCCATAGGGGATGTTCTATAGAATGCTTTTTCCGGTCTGGCAAATGGTGGAGTCGAACTCCTCCCAGGGAGCAGAGTCCTTGGCTTAGAATATGCCGATGACATTGCCTTGCTGGGTGACAACACACAGGCAGTTCAAGAGGCTTTGAACCGCCTGGCGATCGAGGTATCCAGGTATGGTATATGCTTTGCATCTTCCAAGTGCAAACTGCTTGTTCAAGACTGACGGGAGCCTGTGCCTGCATTCACCCTCTGCGGTGATCAGCTAGAAGTAGGTGAGAGCTTTAAGTACCTCAGGAGCTTGATCGCAGTTGGTGGGGGTGTTGGGGAGGAGATCACATCACACCTAGCATCTCCGCATCGAGGATGTTGATCGACTTTCTGTATTCGACCACCTATGACTCCGAAGCGTTGCTCGTGTCTGATGGGAACCCCTGGTGAGTAATGACGAGGTTCGTCGACGTGTGTCGAGTGCGGATAGTCGTTCTCTAACGGAAGTAATCGCTCTACACCGCCTCCGATGGCTTGGTCACGTACTGTGTATGCCTGCCCACCGGCCACTTTTCGGTGCTCTTTTCGCACGTGCCGGGAAAGGCTGGAAGAAGCGGTGCAGCGGTCAGACC